GCATTAAATTATCAAATTTTATCAGCATAACTCTAAAATACTCTATCATACTCTGTTTAGTAGTACCCCAATTTAACGAATAAACAATAAAAGTTGTCCCTATGTTAGCCTGGCAGTGTAAGCATTAACTAACTCGATTAAGAAAGTTTGAAAATATTGTAAAAAAAATAATAATAATAACAATAAATAAAATCCGCCAATTCGACCCAGTTTTTAGACAAATTAGGACGAGAATCTAAAGTTTAAATTTTTGTGGCCTTATGCTCAAGAAACTGTACAGAGTGCCAAATATAGTAAGTTATTATTTCATATAACATTATGATTAACGTGGTAAATGGACAATTGTTATTTGTAATGCAAATGCTTAATAAGAAAATATTAACACCCCTAATTTTTCTGGTCAAGTGCCATTCATTCTTTTTTCTGTAGTGCTGCATTTACCTATAATATTTATAAACACCAAATCAGAAGCATTGTAAGCATCGTTTCCTCTCCTGTTGAAGGTGCAAAGGTACTCGAACCCGATCGAATTTTGAATTATTTTTTTCTTTTTAGCTCACCTTAGCTGAAAAGATTGTCTTTTTGCATAGTTTGCGCTCCAGGTACTTCTTGTTCCAGCCAACACTTCAAATCATAATTTTGGTCCCCAGCTTTTGTTGTAATTATGTTCTGGCTACTTTCTTCAGAATTCCTCACTCTGGCTTTTTTTACGATTACTATAGAAAACATTGAGCTCTATGGTTGTGCCCCCTCAATAAATACGTCTGATGACCTTTTTTTTGTTTCTTGTCGGGGAATTTTTTGGTAGTTGATAGTGCCCCCTCAACTGAAAATGATGGCTGTGCCCCCCTCCCCCCCCAACTGAAATTGTGTTTTCCTACGGGCCTGTATACATGGTATAGTGCCATAAATGAGTCAACTTTTTTAATGGCTGCCATTTGAATCATGTAATGCCCTGTTCACACGGAGAGTTCAATTCGAATTAAACGTAAGTTACTTCGCTAAGCGAATTCACACGGAGAGTTTAATTCGAATTAAACGTAAGTTACTTCGCTAAGCGAAGCTAATTCGAATTAAATTGGACGCATGCGTAATGGCACAATTAAGTCACATGCCACATGTCGGTGGTCAGATATAGGTATTTATGCTATTTTTTAGTGGAAAACAAAGAAAAATTATGTTAATCACTGAAATGTGTATAGACAATATGACAGAATGTCATGTGGGTCTGCTCCGCATAAGGTGACGTGATTTGAAAATGACGTCATAATAGCCTTGCCTTACTGTTGAAATAAAATTTTAATTCGCATTAGTTTACTTCGCAATAGCTGTCTTGTGAACAAAATTTAATTCGCATTATTTTACTTCGCATTATTTTACTTCGCATTAATTTACTGCGAATTAAACTCTTCGTGTGAACAGGGCATAATGAGTTTTCAAGTCATTTACATTGTGGATCAGGTAAAGTCTGTTTTTGATGTTGTTTTTCATTAATAGCCAAACATTCTCGATTGTGCTCAAATCGGGAGATTGGGGATGCCAACTGGGAACTTATCTGTGGAATTTTATGCCCTGTTCACACGCAGAGTTTAATTCGAATTAAACGTAGGTTACTGCGAATTAATGCCCTGTTCACACGGAGAGTTTAATTCGCAGTAAATTAATGCGAAGTAAAATGATGCGAATTAAACTAATTCGAATTAAATTGCGTTCACACGACAGCTAATGCGAAGTAAACTAATGCGAATTAAAATTTTATTTCTACTATAAGGCTATTCAGTAAGGTTATTATGACGTCATTTGCAAATCACGTCACCTTACGCAGAACAGACATAGGCCTACATATGACATAATTTCATAGTGTCCGTACAGTTTTTAGTGATTATCATAGTTTTCCTTTGTTTTCCACTCAAAAATAGCACAAATACCTATATTTGACCACCGACATGTGGCATGTGACTTAATTCTACCCTTACGCATGCGTCAAAATTTAATTCGAATTAGCTTCGCTTAGCGTTCACACGGAACTAGGCTAATGCAAAGTAATTTAATGCGCAGTAAACTAATTCGAATTAAACTAATTCGCATTAAATTCTCCGTGTGAACGCGGTTCAGATTTAATTCGCAGTAACTTACGTTTAATTCGAATTAAACTCTCCGTGTGAACAGGGCATAAATTTGATCCGCGTTCACACAAAGAATTTAATGTGAATTAGTTTAATTCGAATTAGTTTACTGCGCATTAAATTACTTCGCATTAGCTCCAAGTGAACGCTAAGCGAAGCTAATTCGAATTAAATTTTGACGCATGCGTAAGCGCAGAATTAAGTGACAGGCCATATGTTGATTGTCAAATATAGGTACTTGTGCTATTTTTTGAGTGGAAAACACAGGAAAATTATGTTAATCACTAAAATGTGTACAGACACTATGACATTATGTCAAATGTATTATCTGCTCTGCACAATATGACGTGATTTGTAAATGACGTCATAATAGCCTCACTGAATAGCCATGTTGTAGAAATAAAATTATAATTCGCATTAGTTTACTTCGCATTAGCTGTCGTGTGAACGCAATTTAATTCGCATTAGTTTAATTCGCATCATTTTACTTCGCATTAATTTACTGCGAATTAAAATCTCCGTGTGAACAGGGCACTATTCTGATGTTTTCAATTTTCAAATTCATTGGACCGATGGCATGCCATAATGGGGCATTGTCATCTTGGAAGTACCATGCACTATTACCAAAATATTTAACAACAACCTGCCAAATATTGTCATCAAGTATTTGGATATATTTTTGAGAGTTCATATTTCCATTTACGAATGCTAAACTTTCTACCCCATAGTAGGTGATACATCCCCATAACATTATTTTAATAGTAGCAGACAAAATCTTGAGAAGTTATATCCATTTCGAAAAATATTCAAATCATGACATTGGTGTTGATGTCACAATTAAACATTGATATATTACAGATATTACAGAAGACTAGACTTTTAAAAAGGAATATCGGAGAAAATAAAACAATTTAAAAAAAAAATTAAATCCATGATTTTAGCTATCCTTAAATGGCAGTATATTCAGTTAGTATAGATTCGAGTTTTTTTCCAGATCATGACCCCCTCCCCTGCTCCTCCTAGGTAGGGTTGGCCACTTGTACATTTTAACTTTTCAAAACTTTACTGATTTCTTCTACTAGTATCCAAAAGCTCAGATGAGCAATGTAGCCAACGGGCCTCCGGGGGGGGGGAACTTTGCAAAAATATCTGACAAGAAAAAAAAAAGATGTGTTTGTGAAACACTGATGCCCCCGTATGACAGCTTATGGCGAAGGTTAAAGTTTCTCTAATGCAAGTCAAACTCCACGTCAAGAGATCAAAATGTTAGTACCCAAAGAAAGGTCCTGTCTCGAGGAATATACCTGTGAAATTTGAAAGCCCTAGCAACAACTGTTCAAAAGTTATGGCGAAGGTTAAAGTTGTTTAAAAGTAAGTAAAACGGCAAGGTCAAGGTTAAATGGGACCCCAAGGGAAGGTCTTGTCACAAGTTATACACATGTTCGTGAAATGTGAAAGCCCTAGAACCAAACGTTCACATGTTATGGCCAAGGTTAAAGTTTTTTAAAAGTAGGTCAAACTCCAAGTCAATGCCAAAATTGTTGGTATCCAAAGGAACAAGGAATGGACATGTGAAGTTTGAAAGCCCTAGCACCAAATGTTTAAAAGTTATGGCCAAGGTTAAAGTTTTTCAAAAGTAGGTCAAACTCCAAGGTTAAGGTCAAAGGGTCAAAGTTGCTGGTATCCAAAGGAAGGTCTTGTCACAAGGATTACATATGCGAAGTATGAAAGCCCTATCACCAAACATTCAAAAGTTATGGCCAAGGTTAAAGTTTTTTAAAAGTAGGTCAAACTCCTAGGTCAAAGCCAAAGGGTCAAAGTGGTTGTATCCAAATGAAGGTCTTGTCACAAGGAATAGACATATCAAACTCCTAGGTCAAGGTTAAAAGGTCAAAGTTGTTGGTATCCAAAGAAAGGTCTTGTCACTTGGAATACACATATGTGAAGTATGAAAGCCCTAGCACCAACTGTTCAAAAGTTATGACCAAGGTTAAAGTTTTTTTCAAAAGTAGGTCAAACTCCTAGGTCAAGGTCAAAGGGTCAAAGTTGTTGGTATCTAAAGGAAGGTCTTGTCACAAGGAATACACATGTGAAGTTTGATTGCCCAAGCACCAAGTGTTCAAAAGTTATGGCCAAGGTTAAAGTCTTATAAAATTTTGCAAAAGTGGACCAAACTCCAAGGTCAAGGTCAAATATGATGGTACCCAAAGAAAGGTCTTGTCACAAGGAATACATATATGAAATATGAAAGTCATAGCTCCAACCAATCAAAAGTTATGGGCGGTTAAAGTTTTTGCGGACAAACAAACAGACAGACGGGCGGACAGGGCAAAAACTATATAACCTGAATCTTCGATACGGGGGCATAAAAAACCTAATTTACTGTCCAAATCCTGCAATTTGACAGTGCTTGACCTTACAACAGCAAAAAGTTGGGGCGGGGGGGGGGGGGGCAACCAGCCTCTAAAGGAAATTTTACAATAGCAAAATATTCTCAGAAAAAGTTGGGGGGGTGCCCCCCCCCCGCATTCTTTAACTGCTTGTTTTTTTTCTATGTGAGAGCAACAGGCGACAAAGGGCGTATTCATTACGGGGTTAGTTGGGACATATTCATGAATGGTATGTATATATACACGACCTTAAATTAGTCCTAAGACTGTCGTACTTTTGCGTTTCATTGTTTTTATGTAAGTAAGAGTATACATAAATACATGTAGAATACATATACATTAATTAAATATATTAATCAAATAAGAAATTTAACATGTTTGATGACAATGTAGTGGGTTTGCTGTCGGGGGTCTGTTAATTTAATTCGGGTTCGAGTGCCTCTTTCCACTTGGCGGCATTTTACACTTTCAACTTCAAGGTTTCATCCTTTTAAAATGAAGTAAAAATCAGTTCAAAAACCTTGTAGAAGTTCAACAAAATATTTTACATTATTTAAGTAAGTATCTGGTTTCTAATAAAAGGGCACGTACATAAACCTCTGCTGCATGTAACTGCATTCGTTAGTCGAACTCCTAAACGGAGTCGTGCAAGAACAGTAACTCTTGTATCCAATATAGATTTTATAGTATTGATAGATCTGAGAGACATTGTAACCTCTGCAATAACAATGAACTTGGTGATGAGTTTCATTATTTATTTAAGTGTCCTTTTTTTAAGAATGAAAGACAGAAATTTATACCTAGCAATATTTACACAAATCCAAACACAATATCTTTTTATAATTTGATGAATACTTCTGATATATATGAACTAATAGGTTTAGCTAAGTTTTGTAAAACTGTTCTTAAATTATTTCATGCCTGAACTTCCTACAATGTAAACATTAAACGATTTTTTTTTATACAACCGTCAGTACTGTCCATATCAAAGTTCTTTTTGTGGTTCATTATGTTAACTGTTCACATGTTGATTTGTTCAATTGTTAAACTCTTATTGTACTAACATACCCCATGTGGGGGCTTTAGTGAAAATAAAAGTTTCAAAGTTTCAAGCGTGTTGAAATATTCTCAGTCATTTCATTAAATAATGTATGAATAATTAATTGGTGTAAGTTTCTTTTTAATATCTTTCTTCATATTGGAATTGAGAAAAAAAAGAAAGTATTCTAAGAAGAAGGAAAATATAGTATCTTTATTTAAACTAAACTATATAGTTTTTTCCAGCAAAAATGAAATGTCAACTATTTATTATTAATTCTTATAATTTTAAGCCATAAAATAAAAAAAATTGCATTTGAATTTCATTTTAATTGTATTTTTGCGACACTATGAGCGTAATTATCAATCATCTTTGCCAGCCAAGACACCGCCTCTCAAGATCGGAGAAGCAGTGCAGATCAGAAACCCTTGGCTAGAGAAGATTGAACAACGATATAAATGACAATTCATTGCCAGTCAAAGGAAATGCAGACTGAAACCCTTGATCACAAAAAAATCAAAATAACGTACATCATCTTTGTGCTTTTAGATTTTGAAAAATCAAAGATATAAGGAAGAACAATTATTTATATATTTCTTTTATCATTTAAATTTCTTTTTTTTAATGTGAAAAGGAAAAACTTATACCTTTGTCAACTTTTAATTGGTAAATATTGAACTTTGATCCCTTTCATATAATAATAATAATATTGATCCCAGTTGTTTTACTCGGTCAAGATCGAAGTTCACTATGGAGGCATTTGTACTTTCAACAATTGTAACTACTCTGCCATTTCCATAACCAATCATGGTAGAGGGCAAGCATGATCCAATTTCTAAACTTTTGATTTTGAACTTTGATTAGTTGCATGGATCTGATGAGGTTTGCATTTTCAGTAGAAAAGCTGTAATAAACAAAGGGGTTATAAAAAGAGTAGAAGAGGCAAATTAACATTTGATGTTGTCTACTAAGGTACAGGACAGGATGATATAAACATGCTTTTATTATTTTAGTATATTTTTCAATTTGTCAAATAGTTAACTGTTCTTCATTGGAAAAAATGGGATAAGTAAAAATTATGTGCAGACAAGTACCTGTAAATTTGAATGAACAAAAATGCTGTTTCTTTTACAGGAAAATCTTGAAGGTATTTATTTCATTTATCAAAGTTCATAACCACGCAGAACATTACAATCTGAATTATTTTGTTGGTTGGTAGCATGCCTTCAAAGAAGAGGTATAGAGGTGGACAGCCAGAAGTGTACCATGATATAGATGACTTTACACCAATGATTGTCTCTGTGGATAGCTCAAATGTAAACACAGTGGTCAGTCCAGAGAAGTCTCCTTACTCCCTCCAAGATGTAAACACTGGGGTCAGTCCAGGAAAGTCTGCTTACTCCCTCCGTGTCCAGAGAGTGGTCAGGCAGGCTGAGGAGGAGGTCAGAAGGAATTTATTAACAAGTACCCATATAACATTGCAATAAACTAAAGGGAAAATTTGTTAAAATACAGGTTGGAATCAACTGCTATAAAATGTGACATAGCTAGTTCATACAGATTATATCTTTTTCAGTAAAAGTATGAATTCTGTCTTGTGTGTGCTTTATAGAAATGATATGCTAATTACCCTTGTGCATTTGAAAAAAAGCACTTACCCTTTTCTTCTCATTCATTTAAAATAAATTAAGAATTAAGAGTTGTTAATTGTTTTTGAGACATAGTGTCTGTATTTTATATCTAGGTGTGTTAACAGTAGGAACAAATATAAACACTACTATGAACACATTTGAATGAATCAACATAAAAGTGCTTGGAAATCTCTGGGAAGATGTAAGAGATATTTGCCTATTGGTCATTTTTAATCTCCATCCTCCAGAGTGCTCCCCCACATTGCTAAATTGCTGTGAAGTGATCAGCTTTTTTTAATGTATGCATTGTCACAATAACAAATATGACTTGGGGTCAATAATGGATTTTTCATTCAAAAAATCTCACACACCCCTCTAAGGAAAAAATACTTTATTATACATTGAGTGCAACATCTATCTGGTTTGGTCTCCGTCTCCAGTATTCTAACAATAACTGATACAAACAGTGCATCCATTGTTTTATTTGGTGTCTGTCTCCAGTATCATATGGCCTCTTTTGCCAGTATTATGACAATAACTGATACAAACAGTGCATCTATTGTTTTGTTTGGTGTCTGTCTCCAGTATCATATGGTCTCTTTCGCCAGTATTATGACAGTGAGTGATATGAACAGTGCATCAATTGTTTGGTGTCTGTCTCCAGTATCATGACAATAACTGATACAAACCAGGCCCGTAGGAAGCAATTTCACTTTGAGGGGGCACAACTACACATCTTGAGTTGGGGGGGGGGGGCACAAAAGCCGCACTATCCACTACCAAAATTTCTTGACAAGCAAAAAGAAAAAAAAGGTCATCAGATGTTATTTTTGAGGGGGCACAAGCATATAGCAGCTATGTTTTCTATAGTATTCTATATCTCGGCAAAATTATTTGGGGGGGGGCACCCCCCCAACCCCTGGTTCCTACGGCCATGCAAACAGAGCATCCATTGTTTTGTTTGGTGTCTGTCTCCAGTATCATATTTCGCCAGTATTATGACAATAACTGATACAAACAGTGCAACCATTGTTTGTTTGGTGTTCTGTCTCCTGTATTATGACAATAACTGATATATACAGTGCATCCATTGTTTGTTTGCTCACTGTCTCCAGTATCATAATACATGTAAACATCTTCACTAGCCAAGGGTTTCTGATCCTCTACTCTCCTCAGAAACCTTTGGTCTATGGTGCTGTTAAATGTCAGGATTGTTCATGTGATCTCTAATCTTACCACATACTCACAGATTGCGTCATTGACAGAAAAAAAAGCTATTTAAAAATTAAAATTTTTTAAGAATAATTAATAAAAAGGTATTAAGCGATGTTTAGTTGTTATCTAGGGTGCAAATTATCTACATCTGCAATATAGATTTCAGATCACATTATTTGCGTATCAGCTAGATTGGATGATACAATATCTATTTAAGAATGGCATACGTGATCTTATGGATCATTGTTTACATGTGTTTTTCATTCCCAAGACTAAAGAATCAAGATATATCTGGAACGCAGATATCGTCATTCACAAAAGCAACTCCAATCACAACTCAAGAAAAAATCCTGTTTTTTGGTAAGCCATAGGCCAAGAGAAACGCAGATATCATCATTTACAAAAGCAACTCCAATCACAACACGAGAAAAAATCCTGTCTTTTGAAACACCATAGGCCAAGAGAAACCCTTGGCTAGCGAAGATGCATGATGACAACCAATATATTGCAGAAATGTAGCGTTATGGTTTTATATTTTAGTCTTTGACCTTAACGTTACAGATCCGGTAATGTAAATAAAGAGCAATTTACGGTGCAAGATTTTCTGTTTTTCTAGTAGTTTCTACAAACCAATAAACTGGCTTGTTGTGAATTCGTTGTCGAATGGCATAAAATTCACAAGCGAGTTTATTGGTCGTTAATCGGTATACCGGTTTATCTTATTTTTAATTGCATGATATCAGGGGCGTAGCTTCCATTGTGGCAATGAGGCAACTGCCTCACTAGATTTTTCACCACCCCTTCCCATAATCAACAATACATTGCAGATAATACGTAAAATTAATGGCATTTCTTTTAACATTTTAAGCAGTTCTATAATGTTGAAGTTTTAAAGAAATAAAAGTTTAATAAGATGCGCTTTCACCTTTAAATGTTTCAAAAGTTTTAGTAAACATATTTATTAACTCTTTTACATTCTTTTACAATATGTAGTATCATGCTGAAGTCTTGAATAAAGAAACCAGTACAACAAATGAAATTTTATTGCATTTTAAAAACCCCAACTCCATTTTCTGTCGGAGTGCCCCCCCCCCCCCCCTTCCCATGACACCACCCGGAACTTGCTGGGGGCTTAAGGTGGCCCCAGACCTCTTGCTGCTACATGTATGGTTTTGCCTCACTAGAATTTAAAGTCAAGCTACGCCCCTGGATATGTATCATGATACCAAGAGTAAAATACAGGTATTTAGGTACATAGTTATGAATTCCAGAAATTATTCACTTACTTGTTCGATCTTTCAAATTACAATGACAAGAAGTGTAAAAAATGTTGAAAACGGTAAAAGAATGTCATCCTAGCATCCAAAATTGTTTGATATTATGTAAATAAAAAAAATGAAAAAAAAGAAGTTATTTTTTTCCAGCATTAAAAAAAATTATGAATATTCATTTAATATCATTGTAAAAATTGCTTGTAAAAATATCATGATACATGTGATATTGCTTGTAAAAATATCATGATACATGTATTATTGTGATATTTAGGGAAAAAATTGTGATACATGTATATTGCAATACGAAATTTTTGGCGATACTTATCCCTACATGTGTTAAACTTACAACCCTTATTTTGTTGTCAGGAGGAAGCGAGCTCTGATGGAGATTTTCTGTCCTCCTCTGATGAGTACCAGCCAGAATCTGAGGAGGAATATTTGGAGTCTGGGAGTGACCTTTGGGAGGAGAGTGATGACAGTGAACCAGAAGAGATCAAGGTTGAAATGGATATAGGTCAGGTAAGTAGTAAACTTCCAGGTTGGACATCCACCATTCATATTTAATCCAGTGAAGGGAAAAAAAATCAATTTGGTGTGTGTGAACCTGTAGAATTAGATTGACTGTTAATGTTTAGAATATTACAGACAATGAAAAATAATTAACTTTGAAATATTTTTTGAATTTTTTCATTAAAAAAAAAATTATGATTTTTTATTTAATTCTTGAATATAGAAAACACACACTCAGGTTTGCCTTGAAAAAGGGGACAATGTGATGTTTCCTACAAAGTCAAGAAAGTCAATTACAACACCAGAAATACCAAAGGTATGTAGATATCAAACATGTAACACAAAGAAGCTAAGAGAAAATCATTTAGAATTACAGGAGTTTTGTTTATTGACCTGCGTAAGGCTTTTGATACAGTCAATCATAAAGTTCTTTTACACAAGCTTAAGTCGTTTGGAATTTGTCAAAATACTTTAAAATGGTTTCAATCTTATCTCTCAAATTGTAAGCAATGTGTCAGTTGGTGAGGTGTGTTGTCTCGAGAAAAAGATATATCTTTAGGTGTCCCTCAAGGGTCAATTTTAGGACCGTTATTTTTTATTCTATATATTAACGACTATTCAAAGTGTCTTAAACACTCTTCGGCTACAATGTATGCAGACGACACCTCACAGGACGTAAGCGATAAATGTATAGATATTATAGAGAAAAAACTTCAAGAAGACCTCGAGTTAGGTATTGAATGGATGAACAAAAATAAACTCAGTATAAATCTCCAAAAAACGCAGTGTATGCTTATTGGCACATCTAAAAGGTTGCAGAAATGTAGAAATCTTAACATAAATTTTAGTGGTGTGCAGATTGAATTTGTGAAACAGGCAAAATTACTTGGTGTTTATATAGATAATACCTTATCTTGGGATGCTCATGTCGATTTTATTTCAAAGAAAATTTTAAGAAAACTTGCTGTACTAAAGAGAGTGAGTTATTTTATGCCACCAAATGCATTACTTAAGGTTTTTAATAGTATTGTATTTCCTCATTTTACTTACTGTTGCACTGTTTGGTGTAATGTTCAAAATCAAATGTATTTAGAAAAATTATTTAAACTACAAAAGAGGGCAGCTAGATAGGAGTGAAACGGTTCACCGCGGTATCAATACACCGCGGTATTTTTTCTCGGTTTGATACACGGTGCAAAATCTCTAATTTTCAGTTTGGTTCATTTTTCGGTCGGGATCGTTATTCAGTCGGGTTTGGCATAAGGTAAAACACGTTACTCAGTAGAAATAAGTATAGAAAACGTAAATTTTTGATGACTGATAGCTTGTAAAATAATTTTTGACAGTCAAATAATTTTAATCAATTTCTTCTAGTCAATTTGCAAATAAAATTCGTAAAATATCTGACTAGATTTAGAAAAAGAAAGCATAAAACAACGTTGAATTCGTTTCCTTCTATCAAAATGTATCGTATCGAAAATAACCGAACCGAGACAAAATTATACAATACGTATCGAACCGTGAAGGAGGTGTATCATTTCACCCCTACAGCTAGAATACTCTTAAATATTCGAGATATTTTAACTCCTACCAGCTTTTTATTTTCCTGTTTAAATTGGATGCCAATCAAGGATTATTTTATGTTTAGACAAGTCATTTTTTTATTTAAGGTTTTAAACAACCAAATGCCAGATTATCTTAATGTGTTTCAATATACAAGAGATATCAGTTGTCGCCAAACCAGGTCGAATGATTGTATGTCAAATCTATTATATTTACCACGAGTCAAAACAGAAAATTACAGACGTTCATATAGCTATTCGTCTGCATTTCTTTGGAACAAACTATCACAAAATGTTCGGAACTCTAGCTCAGTGGGTATTTTTAAATCTGTATATCTTACTGAGTATTTTAACAGATTCAATACTTAAATTAACAAGATTTCTTTTAATTCCAATTCATTAAATGTGCCAATTTATGAGTGTATTGTTACAAATATGATTCTACATGTATATATCTGCCATGTGATTGTACTCTTGTATCTTATGTTTTTTTATTTAGATGTTAATTTTATATGCCCATATATGTTTGTAAATATGTGTTGATGCAGGACCACAATGAAAACTAGCTTTATGCTAATTGTGTAATCCTGGATAAATAAAGGTTATTATTATTATTATTATTATTATTTAGAACACCAGAAATAGCAAAGGTAGGTAGACAGCAATCAAAGAAGTTAGGAAAAAACATTTAAAACACTAGAAATAGCAAGTGTATGTTGATAACAAACATATAATAAAAAGAAGTTAGAGAAATATAGGTTCCATAACCAGTGGGATTCGAGCAAGTAATAGTCCAAAATATTTGACATTCTCCAGGTGATTTTCACGATTTTGATGTTTGATGTGCCAGGAAACATCAGAACCGGCACCATTATGAAAAGTGGAAATTTAACTTAAATGTGTCTAGTGAAAACAATTTATCAGACTGTCAAGGTTTAATTTGATTTCATGCATTTTGAAATCTTGTGAGACCTGTATCCAAATGTGATGTGATATTGTCTTTTGAGTGATACTGGTGAGAACTAGAAGCATTGTGCTATTGATAAGTGAGTCTTACATTAATTTGATTTGCAAGCATTGAAAATTGTGTTCACTTGGGGGGCAGCGAATTTTCCACTTTTCTTAATGGCGCAGGTTCTGATGTTTTCCTATAATATTAAATATCAAAATCATGAGAATTGCATAGAAAACGTCAAATATTCTGGTTCATTCTGGTTCAATAACATTTTTATAAGTGTCATTTCTAAGGTATTGTAAAAAGTGCAAATAACTTGTGATTTTGACTGCTTTCTGTGGATGCAGTGCAAGGATACTTTTAATTTATTATAGGTAGCTGGATAAAGATATTCTGTTGGTTAATAGGGAAATATTTTTAAATTTCATAATTACAAGGGTCATTCCAAAAAATATGTAAACAATATTGCTCTTCATGATATTATTTTTACAGGATTTATGATCAACACATTTTCAAGTGCAATAACTTTTATTTTGTTGATGTGTGAAATTTCATTCCGTTTGATTAAATAGATCTCATGTTATTTAATTTTAAATTCAACGTGTTTTGTCACCATGGAGCAATCTTAATGACTTTTTTACATCAAAAACAATGTCTCGAAAGTTACTCAATTACTCTTCCTTATCAATTCTCAGATGATTTGTATCTTATACTATACCCCTGGCATTGGCATCAGCGTTAGTGTGGGCATTGGATTCAGTGTAAATGTCGGCGTCCCAGTTAAAGTTTTAGGAGCAAGTTCATTCCCAAGTAACTATAAGTCCTGCCTGGACCAAACTTGCATGGATGATGGATCTAGGGATAAACAATACCAGACTTGCTTCGGATGCCGGATCTGACCTACATTTTCTAGATCAGTGACCAGGTTAATGTTTTTGGAACAGGTCCATTCCCAAGTAACTATAAGCCCTACCTTGACCAGACTTGCATGGATGATGCATCTAGGAATGGACACTACCACACTTGCTTCGGATGCTGGATCTGACATAGATTTTCTAGATCAGTGACCAGGTTAATGTTTTTGGAACAGGTACATTCCAAAGTAACTATATGCCCTACTTTGACCATACTTGCATGGATGATGCATCTAGGAGTGGACACTACCACACTTGCTTCGGATGTTGGATCTGACATAGATTTTCCAGATGAGTGACCAAGTTAAAGTTTTTGGAGCAGGTCCATTCCCAAGTAACTATAAGTCCTACCTGGACCAAACCTACATGGATGTTGCATTTAGGGATGTACACTAACCAAACTGCTTCAGATGCTGGATTTGATCAACATTTTCCACAAGAGTGAATTGTAGCAATATTTTAACCAGATAGCATGGATAATGCATCTAAGGATGTACACCACACAACCTGCTTTGGATGCTGGATCTGACCTACATTTTCCAGATTAGTGACCAGGGTAATGTTTTTGGAGTAGCTATATGAGATTTAGGCTTGTTATGATAAACTTGCATAGATAGTGCATCTAAGGATGAAAACTTCCAGACTTGCTTTGGAAGTTAGAACTGACCGGCATTTTCTTGATTAGGTAAAAATTTTGTCGAACAGGTCCATTTCCAAGTAACTATAAGTCCTACTGAAACCAAATTTGCATGGATATTGATCTTGGGATGTACACTAGAAAAAAAAATATGTGAGATTTGCCTTTCTTATAGATAACATTCGTCGAGGTGAGCTTTGTTGATCACCTATGTTTTGTAATACTTTCTATTTCCATTTCTGGAACTCTTCAAATTAGAGGCATGTTTGGTCGTCTGACTGGGACAACAGTGACGTAGTGGAGAATACAAAACATGCCGATCTCAATCCAATTTTGAATGTTTAATGAATTTGTCATTCCAGTTAAAGAATAGAAGAACTAATAGGCATATGTAAGATTGCGAAAACCCAGAATTTTTCATCCATTGATAAACATTACGACGTTTCCCAGGCATGTACATTGTATTTAGAGACAAACCGTCAACACTAAGTCTTGTCAACAACTTCCTGTGGTGAAAAAATTAACGTTGTTGTTTCTACTTCTTATGCATGTTGAGTCCACAACAATACAGTGTCTCATTTGCATGTTTGTTACGCTTTTTTTCATCGACATTCAACATACTGTTTACATGTTACAATTGTCCCTGAAATCCTGCGAGATTTGTATATTTTCCGACTTTTTCACAAAAGAGCACACTAAGAACTATAACTCTTCCATGGAGGAAATAGAACGTATTGCCTTTATATGTAAAAACGTCAAGGATAGACTATCAATTTTTTGAAAGTCAGTTGGATATTAAAACTATTCTGTAAGCTAGGAAACATTTTTACGCTTTACATTTTATAACAGTACTTTTTCCTTATGAGTTAATGTTAGCCCTACCTTCAATAAACTAGCATGGATGATACATCTAAGGATAGATGCTTTGGATGCTTGATCTGGCCTACATTTTCAAAATGAGCGATTAGGTTAAAAAGTTATATGAGCTGGATGATTCCAAAGTAACTGTAAATTCTACTTAAACCAAACTTGCATGGATATTGAGGATGTACTTAATTGAAAAAAATTTGGTGGGAGTATTGTTAACATTATTATCTGACCTCAAGCAGGGTATTGTGCCACATTTATGTTGCTTTTGTTTCAGTTTTCAATTAAAAATTCACTTTGGTCGAGTTACTGAGCTTTGATTATGTAAAAATATTAATTTTATCATGTGTTTGTCAAGGTTTGTTTGGAAAACGAAGTCGAAGTTACCAATGCCAAGAAGCCTAAAAAGTCAGAAACAACAAAATTAAGTAAGGTATGAAGATAAGCCAACATAAGGAAAAAAGATTTATTGCTTTTATAATGTCTTTAAGGATATTTTTTTTAATTTGAAAGTTAACCTGCTTTTAGTTCTTACAAAAAACCCAATATATCATAACTACCCACAAAGTTTGCAGGGGTGTATATAGGGATCACCTTATCCAATCTAGCTGTCTGTTCATGCAGTGATGTCCATGCAATAACTTTGCAATGAAGAATTATTGAAAGTAGGGGTGAAACGATACACCTCCTTCACGGTTCAATACGTATTGTATAATTTTGTCTCAGTACGGTTATTTTCGATACGATACATTTTGATAGAAGGATACAAATTCAACCTTGTTTTATGCTTTCTTTTATTAAATCTAGGCACTTAATTTACGAATTTTTATTTGCAAATTGACTAGAAGAAATTGATTAGAATTTTTTGATGATCAAAAATTATTTTACAAACTATCAGTCATCAAAAATTTACGTTTTCTATACTTATTTTTACTGAGTAACTTGTTTAACCTTATGTCAAACCCAACTGAATAACGATCCCAACTGAAAAATGAACCGAACCGAAAATTAGAGATTTTGCACCGTGTATCAAACCGAGAAAAAATACCGCGGTGAATCGATACCTCGGTGAACCGTTTCACTCCTAATTGAAAGCTCATACTTTGTACAAATAATACTTATTTCCCAAAGGTGTGTCTTGATCTTGACCAAAGGTCATTCTGGAAAGTTCAAGGTCAATGGCAGAAAAAGTGTAAAATTTGTGTCTGATCTACAACTTCCTAATGGAGAAACATTGGATGTTCATACCTTTATCTCAGTTTTTTTCATAGTAAAGCTCCCTCTGCTAAAGACAAAAACAAATGACACAAAGAAATAGTTAACAAGTCACCAATATGTCATGTCCCAAAGAGGGTATAACCTCTGATTTTATTAGGTCACCTGAGTCACTCAGGTGACCTATTGCTATCTGTTTTCATCCGTCATGCGTCGTGTGTTAACTTTTGAACATTTTCAACTTCTTCTCCAAAACTGCTAAACCAATTTCAACCAATTTTGGCATATAGCATCTATGAGTGAAGGGGAACAAAAATTTTGAATTTCATGATCCCTGCCCCCCTGGGGCCTGAGGGGTAGGGCTAAAACCATCAAAATTTATGCAATCTTTAAAATCTTTTATTTTATTCCTGGACATCAAGCAGTCAAACTGTTGGATGTTTGTAATAAGCATCGAGCCCTCTACCAAAAATGTGAAATTCATGGCCCCAGGGTCAGGGCTAGGGCGGGGCTATATAGATCATATAGTGAAAGTGCATTATTTCTTTGAAAATCTTCTTCTCTACTCTTGGGTATTATTGAAACAAATTGAATACATAGTTATGATAAGCAAGGGTGACTCTACCAAAATTGTGAAATTCATGGCCCCAGGGTCAGGGGTTCTGGTGTTAGGGCGGGGCTCTATAGATCATATAGTGAAAGTGCATTATTTCTTTGAAAATCTTCTCTACTCCTGGTTATTATTGAAACAAATTGAATACTTGGTTATGATAAGCAAGGGTGACTCTACCAAAATTGTGAAATTCATGGCCCCAGGGTCAGGGGTGCTGGTGCTAGGATGGGGTTATATAGATCATATAGTGAAAGTGCATTATTTCTTTGAAAATCTTCTTCTCTACTCCTGGGTATTATTGAAACAAATTGAATACATAGTTATGATAAGCAAGGGTGACTCTACCAAAATTGTGAAATTCATGGCCCCAGGGTCAGGGGTTCTGGTGTTAGGGCGGGGCTCTATTTATTATATAGTGAAAGTGCATTATTTCTTTGAAAATCTTCTTCTCTACTCCTGGGTATTATTGAAACAAATTAAATACATAGTTATGATAAGCAAGGACGCCTCTTCCAAAATTGTGAATTTTTTACTTTACAGCTGTAAAAGAATTATGTAGAAAATAAAGTACTTTTCTGGAATTCAATTTGAAATCATGTGAAAAGTAATCCCAAAACCTATATTCGATTTAATATTATTTTAAAGAGGAGGCTAAGAACATACAAAATACCGTTTTCTGAGAGACTGTAGGCTATCTGGATACATTTAATTTGTCTGATATGGAAAAAAACTCCCATATTCATGACTGATTTTCTTAATTTTTCATTGAAAATGAAAGTTTAAGATATGAATTTTCGTCTTGTTTACCTACAAATTATGCCCCGAAACACCTTATTTGACCAAGCTATATTTATAAAGCTTCATTAAAGGAATTTATTTTTCAAATTTGAGAAATCTGTAGGCTCCTTTTATTTACTAGATCTTTACCTTTAAAAAATATGACCACCAAATTGATTTTTTTTTTTTTTTTAGAAATTCATCTACCCATAACATATTTTTCACTTATATCATCATATTGTACACAGATTCTAGTTAAAATTCCTGAAGTTGCAATAGAATAAACAATTGGATAAAAAAGTTTCAGAATTTTTTATTAGTAAAACTTTCATTTGAAAAAGAAAATATCACAATATCCTAGAAGACTTTCTAAAATACATAATTAAAAGAAATGATAGTTTTTTAGCTCTACTGGTCAGAGACCAGAAGAGCTTATGCGATAGTAAGGTGTCCGTCATCTGTCTGTCTGTCTCTGTGAACAATTTTTCAAAATGCTACTCCTACAGTTTTGGTCTGATTTCAATATAACTTGGTACATAAGTAGACTACATAATTCTGTCTATCGGTTTTTGATTTCAATGAATGGTGTTGCCATGGTTACTAAAAATAGAATTTCTGTAAAATACTTTCAAAACCCTACTCCTCCTACAGTTTTGATCTAATTTCAGTATAACTTGGCACACAAGTAGACTACACAAAGATACAAAATTCTGTCTGTCCGTTTTTGATTTCAATGAATGGTGTTGCCATGGTTACTAAAAATTAGAAATTTCTGTGTAAAACTTTAAATACCCTACTTTTCCTACAGTTTTGATCTAATTTCAGTATAACTTGGCACACAAGTAGACTACACTAAGATACATATTTCTGTATATCAGTTTTTGATTTCAATAAATGGTGTTTCTATGGTTACTTAAAATAGAAATTTCCTTGAATTACTTTCAAAATGCTACTCCTCCTACAGTTTTGGTCTGATTTCATTTTCAATTTTTAACTGGAACCAGATTACACTTGCCGGTAGTGAACTAGTATTGCAAATGCAATACTCTCAGAATGCTTGTATTTATTTGCAATCATCTTCAGGTACTTTAGATTCAAGTTTATTCATGTTATTGCCCCTGGGGTTAATGTGCTGCAAGAACAGGAGATCAATATATAATACATTGGAATATGTAGGAAGTTGTCAATGACAACAGAGTCATGATTAGTCTTGATATGCATATATCATCAGATATTTGTATATTTGACTTTGTTCAACACATTTCCTCATTTCCTAACAACTCATGATACTTAGGTGACTTTTAATGCCCTTGGGCCTCGATCTTGTTTGTTTGATGACTTGATATGTATTTATAGAGATGGAGAAAGCAGGATGAAATGAGATATCATTAAATCCATTGAAATAAACATTTTTAAAAATACTAAGTTGTATGTTGAATATGAGCTTAGCCTTGGTGAATGATTTTCATGATACATTTATTGAACCTGTAAAATAAGTGATTGCATGATAAAGATTTCATTTCATTGACATCTAATTCCTTTACAATCCAGTGGCAGTCATATTACCTTTAGCAGTTTTTTAAAAACTTTTAATTAACAGAAACCAGATCGTATGTGTGTATTTTGTAACAAAGTAATAGTTGGTGGAAAACTAAAGAGACACATAATGAGTCATCAGGATACCCACAGTGAAGTGAAAGAAATTTTACAACAGCCTGTAGAAACCCAGAACAAATGGTTCAACCAGAAACGAATTGAGGGAATCTACCAGTATAACCTCAAACATTTGAACTTAGGAGATGATAAACTTATGAGAGAGAGAAGGCCTCAAAAACCAGACAGCTTACGAATGTGCAATGAATGTAAAAGATTTTACTCTCATAGAACATTTTTCAGACACAAGATGCAATGTGGTCCTAAAAAAGATCAGCAACAAGAGGTAAGAAATGTCAAAAATGAATATATATTTGCTAAAAAGCTTATACAATGGTAACATATCTATATTCTATTTGTCTGTCAATGTGGACACCTTTTTAGCTCATCTGAGCTGAAAGCTCAAGTGAGCTTCTCTTATCTCCGTCTGTCTGTCTAGCTGTCTGTCCGTCTGTTCTGTAAATTTTTCACATTTTCAACTTCTTCTCAAGAACCAATTGTAACAAAATTAAAGTTGGTACAAAGCACCCTTGAGTTAAGGGGAGTTTAAATTGTTAAAATGAAGGGCCAAGCCCCCTTACAAGGTGAGATAATCAAGAAAAGATAAAAATAAGGCTGTGTCATTAAAAAATCTTCTTCTCAACAACCACTGGGCCAGAAAAAGCTGAAACTTATGTGGAAGCTTCCTAGGGTAGTGTGTAGATTCTGAATTGTTCAAATCATGACCCCCAGGTATAAGGTGGGGCCTCAATAGGGAATCAAAGTTTTACATTGAAATATATAGGAAAAATCTCACTGGGCCAGAAAAGCTGAAATGTACAGCATCGTGCCAAAAGTATGGGCAGAAAATGGTGGTCGTGGTCAAAGACTTGTTGCCTTTCGTCAGAAAAATGAATGTTATAATGTTAATACTGAATGAAATTTAATTTTGAGACGATTTTAATTTTAAGACGATCCCTGAAATCAGTTTAAATTTCCGGATGTATGAATGTATAAAAATTTGTCTGCTAGAGTAAATCGTTCTGTAATATTTGAGTGTAAACAAAGATAGGTCGAAAGTCTAAAGAATTGTCACCAGACAAGAAAGAAGTGATTATAAAATTAAAAAAAGATGGAGTAAAGATTAGTGAAATTTCAAGGATGTTAGGAGTGCCTGAATCTTCATGCAGGTCTGTTATCAAGACTTTTCAAGAACGGGGTAGCCTTTTGAAGGCTAGAAGAAACTGTTTTGTCGTGGTGAAGCCAGGTTACTTCAGTTGGTAAGATGGAGCAGAGGAAAGGTACTAAAAGATGTAACAACCGAATTTAATGTTGGAAATGGTTTAAACAAGTCAGTAGGAGGATCAGATTTTGCATAAAAATCAGTTTTATTGGAGAGTTGTTAGGAAACGTTTGGTAGTGAAAGAGGTCAACCAAAAAAAAAGAGACTTACATGGTGCCTACAAAAACGGAGATTAACTGTAAACCAATGTTGGAGAAACATTGTCTTCAGTGATGAGTCGCAAATCATACTTCGTCAAAATAATGGGGTCTACGTGTGGCGATCTGCACATGAAGCTTACAGACTGGAGTGCAGAATGCAAGCCCAAAGTTTCAGTTATGATCTGGAGGTGTATTACCTGGTATGGGCCTGGAACTCTGTGTAAGATAAACGACAATATAAATGCCGAGATATACATTTCAATATTAGATGAACTACTGTGGCCTGTAATTGCCCGTCATTTCCCAGACAATTCCTACATATTCCAAGATGATAATGCCCCCTTGCATCAAGCCTGTATCGTAAAGAGATATAAACATGAAAACAACATCCACGGAATGATTTGGCCAGCCCAATCACCAGACATTAATATTATGGAAAACTGTTGGCATGGGGTGAAGAGAAGTTTACAAAATCAGACCGGTGAAATATCTAACCCAGATCAGCTGTTTAAAGCTATTCTAGATATTTGGCAGAATCTCTTGGTGGATTACATTAAAAACCTTTATCAGTCCCTACAACAAAGAATTCTTGCTTGCATTCAGTCCAAAGGACATCTCACCTTTCATAAAACCACCCATATCCCCCTGAAAAAAGACCCATCTTCACATAAATTTGAAGAGACTTACCGGTAATTAACTTTAAGTATCCATCCAAAGATCATAATCCATCGATTTTTAGCTCTTCTGAGCCAAAGGCTCAAAGAGCTAATGCTATGGCCATTTGTGCGGTGTGCTGTGTGCGTAAACTTTTTAGAATATGGGCCATAACTCAAAAACCCCTTGGCCAATTATTGTCAAATTTGTCACAGGGTATCCTTGGCCCAAGGGCCCCCTTTTATACTAAAACTAGGGTTGTGACCCTTAAACAAGGGGAGATAATTAGGAAAATAGAAACAAAAGTACTGGTTGCTAAAAAGTCTTCTTCTCAAGAACCACTGGCCAGATTATCATCAAACTTACACAAAAGGATGAGGATATGTTGTAGATTAAAAATTGTTCAAGGCATCACCCTGGGGCAAAGGGTGTGGTCTCAAGGTCACTTCAAAATTGACCAAAAATTACATTTTATTAAAATGTTGATATTTTGCTTACTATAAGGACTAGGATCATCAAATCTTGTCAGTTAATGCATCTAAGGACCTCATATCATGTTGACGTAAAAGTATGTCACATTGACCTACTTTTTAAATTTTGCGGTCATTCTTTATCAAAATAATTTAGAGGCATATTTTGAACAATTTAAGGCCTACGATCATCAAACTTTGTCAGTTGATGTATCTTGGGTCCTCAAAGTACGTCAACTAAAAAGTAGGTTACCTTGACCTACTTTTTGAATTTTATGGCTAATCTTTTACAAAACAATTATGGTCAATAATTTGAATACTGAGAGGTTTAGCATCATGAAATCTTGCAAGATGATGCATCTTGGGGCCATAAGACATATGTATTAAAAAGTAGGTCACAGTGACCTACTTTTTGAACTTTGCAGGCATTCAATTTCAAAGCGTTTTAGAGGCATATTTTGGACATTTTAAGGCCTATGATCACAAAACTTTGTAAGTTGATGCATCTTGGGTCATTCGACTGAAAAGTAGGTCATCGTGACCTACTTTTCAATTTATATGACTATAATTAAATATTCATGTACTAATTGGCTTAGAATCATCAAACTTTGTCAGTTGATGCATCTTGGGTCTTCGGAGTAGGTGGACTTAAAAGAGGGTCACGGTGACCTACTTTGGAAAATTTATGGCTTTAATTATATATTTCAGGAACCAATTTGCTTAGAATCATCAAACTTTGTCAGTTGATGCATCTTGGGTCCTTGGAGTACGACAACTGAAAAGTAGGTCACCCTGAACTACTTTTTGAAATTTTATGGCTGAATTTAAATATTTTCGGGTACTATTTGGCTAAGAATCATCAAAATTTGTCAGTTCATGCATCTTGGGTCCTCGCAGTAGGTCGACAGAAAAGTAGGTCACTGACCTACTTTTCAATTTATATGACAATAGTTAAATATTTCAGGTACTAATTGGCTTAGAATCATCAAACTTTGTCAGTTGATGCATCTTGGGTCTTAGGAGTAAGTCAACTGAAAAGTAGGTCACTATGACCTACTTTTGAAAATTTATGGCTTTAATTAAATATTTCAGGAACTAATTGGCTTAGAATCATCAAACTCTGCAGTTGATGCATCTTGGGTTCCTGGAGTACGACAACTGAAAAGTAGGTCACCCTGACCTCCTTTTGAAATTTTATGGCTGTATTTAATATTTTTGGGGTACTATTTGGATGAGAATCATCAAATAGAAGTGATAGGTTGTACAGTTTATCAGAAGAGCGATTCAAGGCCCTTGGGCCTCTTGTTTTGGTTTCCTTCACCAGTTTCTCCCACATTTCATTATTCCAAAGTACCGCATTGCGGGTTATTTTAGCGGAGTGCTGATTTTGGCTTATTTAGCATTTTGTAAGTAGCCCGCTAAAATTTTTAGCTCTTCTGAGTCAAAGGCTCAAAGAGCTAATGCTATGGCCATTTGTACGGTGTGCGTAAACTTTTTAAAATATGGGCCATAACTCAAAACCCCTTGGCCAATTATTGTCAAATTTGTCACAGGGTATCCTTGGCCCAAGGGCTCCCTTTTATACTAAAACTAGGGTTGTGACCCTTAAACAAGGGGAGATAATTGGGAAAATAGAAACAAAAGTACTGGTTGCTAAAAATCTTCTACTCAAGAACCACTGGGCAGATTATCACCGAACTTACACAAAAGGATGAGGATATGTTACATAGATTAAAATTTACATGGGGATTTACCCTGGGGCAAAGCGTGTGGTCTCAAGGTCACTTCAAAATTGACCAAAAATTACATTTTATTAAAATGTTAATATCTTGCTTACTATAAGGACTAGGATCATCAAATCTTGTCAGTTGATGCATCTAAGGACCACATATCATGTTGACTCAAAAGTAGGTCATGGTGACCTACTTTTGAAATTTTGCAGCCATTCTTTATCAAAATGATTTAGAGGCATATTTTGAACAATTTAAGGCCTATGATCATCAAACTTTGTCAGTTGATGTATCTTGGGTCCTCGAAGTACGTCAACTAAAAGAAGGTCACCTTGACCTACTTTTTAAACTTTATGGCTAATCTCTTTCAAAACAATTAAGGTCATTAATTAGAATACCCAGAGGTTTAGAATCAATAAATCTTATAAAAAGATGCATCTTGGGGCCATAAAACATATGTCTTAAAAAGTAGGTCACAGTGACCTACTTTTTTTTAACTTTGCAGGCATTCGATTTCTAAGCGTTTTAGATGCATAATTTGGACATTTTAAGGCTTCTGATCATAAAACTTTGTAAGTTGATGCATCTTGGGTCCTCAAAAAAGGTCAACTGAAAAGTAGGTCACCGTGACCTACTTTTCAATTTATATGACTATAATTAAATATTTCAGGTACTAATTGGCTTAGAATCATCATACTTTGTCAGTTGATGCATCTTGGGTCTTCGGAGTAGGTGGACTGAAAAGAGGGTCACGGTGACCGTCTTTTGAAAATTTATGGCTTTAATTGAATTTTTCAGGAACTAATTGGCTTAGAATCATCAAACTTTGACAGTTGATTCATCCTGGGTCTTTGGAGTAGGTCGACTAAAAAGTAGGTCAACATTGTGTAGGTAAACTAGGTAAAAGGTAGGTAAAAGTAGGTAAACTTTGTCAGTTGATGCATCTTGGGTCCTTGAAGTACAACAACTGAAAAGTAGGTCACAGTGACCTACTTTTGAAAATTTATGGCTTAAATAAAATAAAATATTATAAAATTATAAAATAATATTATTAATATTAAATATAATATTAATAATATTATATATTATATAATATTATAAAATTAAATATTAATTAAATTTTCAGGTGGCAATTGGCTTAGAGTCATCAAACTTTGTCAGTTGATGCATCTTGGGTCTTCAGAGTAGGTCGACTGAAAAGAAGGTCACCGTGACCTACTTTTCAATTTATTTGTCTATAATTAAATATTTCAGGTACAAATTAGGGCCCCGCAAGGATTTGCAGGTGCCCTATAGTAATCACTCTGTCTGTCTGTCCATCTGTCTGACCGTCTGTCATTCTTCCGTCCACAAATTTTCTGTTTTTTTTCTAATAATTTTTTTTTTTAGGATTGACCAGTTAAGTTCAAATTTGGTATGTTGGTTGAATAGGCAGTAAGACATATTTTGATGCTTAGTTTGGTTCTCTATGTCATCTGGTTTGAAGCTGGGATGGTGGGGTAGATTCCATAAATTGATATAAGAGTGAATGGGCAAAGAGAGATAACTGCTGAGAATGTTCCTATTGTAAACTATGAAAGGCTGCAATGAGTCTCTTGGGATTAATTAACTTTCCTCTTGAAGAAAATCCAAAGCATTTATCTTTATCTTTTACATTGAGATTAATTAACACCTCTGTCTGCAAATGAAGTTTGTTTTGAAGTTAAGGTAAATCCTCTCCCTGAAATGTGGATTTAAATAATGTTCATACTTTACTTTGGTAAAATACACAATGAGTTATGATTTTATTTAATTTTAAAAACAAGATATAGATAAAGATATCTTTGTATTATTATTTTATTTTTTTCCCTTTTCTTTTTTCTTTCTGCCTTATGTAAAGTCAAGAATACTATTTATTTTAACAGGTATTCGGGTAATAACCTCATTCTATCATTGCTGAATAAGTTCTTATTGTAAACTTAGAAGAAGAAAAGGTTGAGAGAGCAGTATAATCAGTATAATTAATCCCCCTGGGATTGATTATCTTGCTGGTTGCAGAAAATTTGAGGATTATCTTTCTGTCACTTTAAGATTAATTAACACCTTTTTCTGCAACTGATGTTTGTTTTGAAGGTAAGGTCAAGCCTGGGTGATATTTGCATTCACTGAAGGCTGGTATTTTAGAAAACACATACTTCATTCTTCTTTAGATACCGGTACATACATTTAATTGAGTTATTATAAATATGATGTTTTTACTGCCTTATGTAAATACAAGGATACTATTTACAGGTTGTTGGATATTTAGGAATTATCTTGAAATTTTATAAATACAGTTGCTGTTGTTTATTCTTCTTTATATATTTTTAAATTTTTGTAATCAAGTAAAATTCTCATTCCCTAATCTGCACCCTTATATTTCTACCCCTCGGCGTGGCCCTTGCTGACTGGTCAGATTTCTAGTTGCTTTAGAATCATCCAACTTTGTCAGTTGATGCATCTTGGGTCTTCAGAGTAGGCCGACTGAAAAGTAGGTCACCGTGACCTACTTTTGAAAGTTTATGGCTTTAATTGAATATTTCAGGTACTAATTGGCTAAGAATCATCAAACTTTGTCAGTTGATGCATCTTGGGTCTTTGGAGTAGGTTGACTAAAAAGTAGGTCACAGTGACCTACTTTTGAAAACTTATGGCTTTAATTATATATTTCAGGTGGCAATTAGCTTAGAATCATCAAACTTTGTCAGTTGATGCATCTTGGGTCTGAGTAGGTCGACTGAAAAGTAGGTCACTGTGACCTACTTTTGAAAATTTATGGCTTTAATAAATATTTCAGGTACTAATTGGCTTAGAATCATCAAATTTGGTCAGTTGGTGCATCTTGGGTCCTCGGAGTACAACAACTGAAAAGTAGGTCACAGTGACCTACTTATAAAATTTTATGGTTATAATTTTAAAAAATATTTTAGATATTAATTGGCTTAGAATCATCAAACTTAGTTGATGGGTCCTCAGAGAATGACAAGTGATAAGTAGGTCACCATGATATACTCTCAGGTACTAATTGGCTTAGAATCATCTTGGGTTCTCAGAGTGTGTATTGGAATTTCAAGGGCTTATCTAAATATACAGGATACTCAGAGGCTTCAAATAGAAGTGATAGGTTGTACAGTTTATCAGAAGAGTGATTCAAGGCCCTTAGGCCTCTTGTAATTGCTAAAATAATCAATTTTCTTCTTAATGTTCTTTGGCAATGTATTAAAACCATGGATCCGCTAAAATAAAATATGCCAAAATTATTGGCATACCTTTGAGCAAGCAAAACGCCAAATTTAACACCTGCCAAGAAAACCCGCTATATGGTAGATCAGAAGGTTGTCCATGAAAAGTGTCTTCCTCATTTTATATATTTTAGAGTATGCTACTTTTTAATAGCAAAACTGAACATGGCTACTAAAAATTCCCAGTCACTTAACAATTTTAAAATCTGTGGAACTTGGTTTTGTCAATAGAATCTTCCAAAAAAGTTTGTAATACAGTCATTAACATTTCCCATTCTGTATTGCACCTATAACGTCTCAATTTTTTCTCTGATATTGTCTAAAACTGCTTAAATATCACCTCCATCATTTAATTCCTTATCACCAGACACCATTTTGTTTGCCATTTTAATTTGTAGTATTAACACTTTGGTTTCTTTGTTTCAGTGGGGAAATTTCCTTTCTAAAAATAGGATCTAGTTTCATTTTTAAATGAGTATGGGCAGTGGAAATCTACCAAATCTTAGTCATATAAAAGATTTTATTCAGATCCCTAAATTTACTACAATGCAAAGTGTCACAGTTACTATGTCTGTATACTTCCACAGTAGTACTATTCCGTATGAAATGGTAGAGTATGACCACAATGGTATTCCATGCACAAAGGGTTAAGGGTCAAGTTGGACATGGGAAGATATTGACAGCTCAATATCTTTAGAACCCATTGATTGACAGAGATCAAAGTTATTACACTGGTACCCTTGAAAAGTAGATGACCCCTATTGATGGTCAAGAGTCAAACATAGACACTACTTACATGTAGGAAACATAGACACGACTTACATGTAGGAAACATTGACACGACTTACATGTAGGAAACATTGACACGACTTACATGTAGGAAACATAGACACGACTTACATAGACACGACTTACATGTAGGAAACATAGACACGACTTACATGTAGGAAACATTGACACGACTTACATGTAGGAAACATTGACACGACTTACATGTAGGAAACATAGACACGACTTACATGTAGAAAACATTGACACGACTTACATGCAGGAAATATTGAAATGACTTACATGTAGGAAACAGAGACACGACTTACATGTAGGAAACATTGACACGACTTACATATAGAAAACATAGACACGACTTACATGTAGGAAACATTGACATGACTTACATGTAGGAAACATTGACATGACTTGCATGTAGGAAACATTAACATGACTTACATGTAGGAAACATAGACATGACTTACATGTAGAAAACATAGACACGACTTACATGTAGGAAAAATTGACATGACTTGCATGTAGGAAACATTGACAGGACTTACATGTAGGAAACAGAGACACAACTTACATGTAGGAAACATAGACAAGACTTACACAGACACGACTTACATATAGGAAACATAGACACGACTTACATGTAGGAAGATATTGTCAGCTCAGTCTCTTGAGAACCATTTGCTTTACAGACATTGATTTTGGTACACTGTTACTCTCTGAGAAGTAAATTACCCCAGTGATATGGAGGTCTGGTAGAGATAAAACATCAGTATTATGTTTTGCCCTGACATTTCTTGTTTAAAAAGTAATATTCATTGTGTAAATTTTCCAATCAAATTGATGTGTTCATTTTGCTGCACTAGTATTCAACTTGCTTGTATTGAACTTAAAATATTTTTTTTTTCAGGTTTCACCTTCAAATGTGAAGAAGACTAAGAAACAAGTAAGTAAATCTATAGTTAAATGTCTAGAAGGTACTGCTTCTCTTCTTTAGAATCAGTCAGGTGTAAATGTCTCCCAAGTTCATCTATAAATACTTTATAAAAATTTTCTTTTAATAGGCCATATTATTGTGTGGCTGTCTCATCTGTTTCTTATATCTGATATATTTCTGATTCATTTCATTTACTGTTAGTGAGGCAAAGGATCATCAAACCTTTTTAAAGGATGAAATTTAGGGGAAAGGTGTGTTGATCTGGCCCAAAAATTAATCTTTATTATGACTTAATATATGACTAAGTGCAGTCAAATTGTGTCTGAAACATCTTGCACAGTTTTGGGCAAAAATCATTGAACTTTGTTCAGGTTTAGCATGTTTTGGGGAAGATAAAGGTTTATAAGACACCCCAAAAGTAGGTTGCAATTTTAATTTGAAATTTTACAGCTTAGTATACATAAATTGTATTGCACTGTGTGAGACCATGGGCTTGGGGATATAGATCTTCCCTTTCTGATATTTCTTCCACTATTTAATCACTAAATTCCTCTATTATACAATAAAAATCAATTCTACAAGTTTATATTATCATTCTTAAGAATTGTGTTTGGATTTTTTTTAGCACACATAAATCCTAGACCCATTAGTACAAAGGAGCATCCATAGGTATAGTGTAGATTCAAGTTTGTTCAAATCATGGCCCCCTAGGGATAGGGTAAGGCCATTATAAGGTATCAAAGTTTTATATGGAAAATGTAAGGAAAAATCTTTTAAAATTTTCTTCTCAAAAACAGCAAAGCTACTATTAATTATATGAATATAGAAGTATCCTCAGGTAATGATTCAAACTTGTTCTTGGGAGAATGGGGCAACAAATAGAGATCAAAATTAGGGTTCTCCACATTTGAAAAGGAGTACCGGTATTCTACTTAAAAAAAGTAGTGTGGTCCCTTTTTACACCCGTGGTTTACTTGTTAAATATTAGCATATGGTATTTTGTTTGTTTTCATTGTGTATAATGAAGTATTTCTAATTAAAACATTGTGTATTCATAATGAATAATTAAACATATTTATCAAAAAATACAAGCCTATTTTTAACACCTAGTATCGCACTAAAAAATGCCGGAACAATTTTCCCAGATCAGACTACGGTTTCTCTATTACATGGAAATGGCGGAGACATTTAGATTAGATACTATAAAAAAAAGATCTTGGTATGATATATATCTTTCAAAGATGAATTATATGTTCAAGATTCACAATCAACTACAAATACAATTTTCTATTTACAAAACTTTGGCAATAAAAGCTATAACAAGATGAACCAAACAAATCCACACTGATCGATATAAAACTGAGTACATTTCAACTGAGAACTAGCATGTTTACTGGGGGCATTTACCTGTAACGATACAAATCCACATGGCTTGTTATGATTCAAAACAGGTCATAAAGAGGTTAATCGCATGTAAATGAAGTCAGCGAAGAGATTCAAAATCACAGTACTTTAATTAGAAAACATAGAGCACAAGGTTGTTCAATAAAGATATTTTCACTCAACCTTTACACATATAATATACACATTATATTTCAAACTCGACTCTGAACAAACCTGTGCTCGTTGTTTACGAAAGCTTTGAAGTGTGTACCTGTCACTGATTTCTTTTGATATTCATGAGAAACAAAGGACCCTACCTTCAATGCGCAGCTTTGTATGCTGCCTTCATCTATGGTTTGAAATTTTTAGATGATGATTCAAATACAGCTCAACTTTGAAATCTCGAACACGGATATCTCAAATACCCCGGATGTGTCGAAGTAAGGCCGCAGTCCCGACGAAATTTGCTTTATAAATGATTAAAATAAACCCCTCTATGTCGAACATGCTAATGTCAAATACCCCGGAAGTAAAATTGTGTACCCATTCATTAAAATCACATGCATTATCTCGAGGTCAGGATAATTTTCCACTCTGATGATCAAGTCCGTTAGGTAAACTGGATGCTCTATTGATAACACCCACCTGTCTGTCAAGCACGGGTTACCTGTGTTCCTGTGATCAACAAATAATAGCGCAATAATTATACGAAGTGTATGTTTGGCTTACCTTGATTTTAATTATGCAAGCCAAGGTTGTGTGTATTGGTCTAATGCATACGCGTGGATGGCACAGTGTTTTGTGGCTTGGGTACATTTATCTTGATAATCAATATTTAATGCTATGTGAAATATGCGCGCATACATAGTTTATGCATATGAAAGTGAAAATCATAAACATCGGAGTAAAACAAAATTCTGTAATTTAATGCAATTAGAATTTATTTTTCCTATATATGAGCGTGCAGAATTTACAATCGTCCATACACACCATCATGTGAGCTTGTGTCGCAGAGAAAACATGTGCTATAGTGCCCTATGATTCAGTGTTGTTCTGTTGTTAGACAAAAGTATGTGATTTTCCTTTTGCATTTGATTTTATTATGGTAAAATAATTTTCCTTTAACTGATTATACATGTATGAACATGTTTTTCTTATAAAAGAAAATGTATATTTCGTTTTCGTTATTCTGACAGCGTCCGGTTTTAAATTTACAATGCATAGATGATATCCGGTTATGAATACACGGGAAACGATGCTAGCGGTTGACATGCCGCATCGGTAGAAAGATTATACTTCTGTGCATATTATACGAAGTTTTTTTTATTTTGTGAATAATAAAGAGGATGTAAAAATCTTTTTAATGCTAAATGCATGTACATGTTTATTAAAGAAATTGTATACAGAATTTCATTCAAGAAGGAATTTGACATGTTTTTACTATTAAGTACATGTTCACTGCACTAAGTTTATTTGAAGTTCATTTGAATTATAACCCTCGATATGTCGAACCCCCGGATATCTCGAAGTTCATCAATGGTCCCGTCAACTTCGAGATAACGAAGTTTAACTGTAATAAATACATTAGTTAATAATAAAATTTAATTTTTAAAAATTTTAATAAATGTTCAAAATTTGACGAGTAACCGGGGACCACATATAAGCTTTATTGAGACTTGTTCTTTGACCATGGAGGAAGCTGCGCAAAACAATTGTTTGTATGTTGTTTAACGTCCCTCTCGAGAATTTTTCTCTCATATGGAGACACCACCACTTGCCGGTGGAGGGCTGCAAATTTTGTCCTATGCTCGAGACTTACAGCCATTGAGCAGTGAGGGATCTTTATCATGCCAGCACCTACTGCGACACGGGACCTTGGTTTATACGGTCTCATCCGAAGGACAGGTCTCAGCGTCCCACAGTGGGATTCGAACCCGGGATGTAAGGATCAACTCCTTACTTCGCGACTCTAGAGCAGACGCTCTAACCAGTGTGCCACGTGGGCGACCTGCGCAAAACAAAATGTGATTGATTGATTGTATTTTGTTTTATGTCCTTTTCGAGAATTCTTCACTGGTATAGAGACATCACCATATGTTGGTGAAGGGCTTCAAATTTAAACCTATACTCGGCACCCAGGGCCATTGAGCAATGAGGGTTCTTTATCATGCCTGTATGCCTACCGTGACACGGGACCTCGGTTTTTAAAGGTCTCATCCGAAAGACCCATGACTTTCACTTCTAGTGTTAAAAATATTTTGACTTACCAAGTTCTACTTTTGAATTGATATCAAAGGCCTCTCTACTGATCTCTTTCCCGTGGAAAAAAGTGTTCGTAAATCCACAAATAGTGCAGTACTATCAGACAGTATCAGTCACATTTAGGCCTAATGTATTGATACAATAAAGTACCAAGTCCACAATATTTACGATGTTGGAAAAATGTAAACCATTGCCTTTACCCTGTGGCTGTAAGTATATAATCTGGTCTGCCAAGTTCTTCAGCTCAACAACCCTTTCTCCTTCGTTTCATTTGATGTCATTATATGATCTACATCAGTTGTGTCGTCTGCTTTGGAATATTTTGAATAGGATGTAAGTCATTTGCGACATACTAATGTTCTCTTTCATAAAAAGTTCTATTGTCCTCCTGTATTTCGACATGTTATATTCACTCATTCGCTCTAATTTAATTGATCTACCTTAACTAGCTTTTCTGTAACTTTTCTAGGGAACTTTTCTTGGAACGTGTTGTTTACAACTGCAGTCCGCCATGTTGAAAAAGGCACATTTCCTGAATAAACAGACCAAAAATTCTCAATTTAGAAATCACATGTGAATGCAAGGAAATACAAAATTTTGAAAGGGTGAATTTTTCCTAGCCACAGAAACTCAATTTGAATGCTTGTCACATGTGTCGATTATCACATTAGACATGTTACGTAACTGAGTTGTCTTCTTTTTTGTCAAGTGAACACATTATAATTCCCCCAAGCTACGTGTACAGGAAAATTAACTCTGATGATATTGATCATCAGCTGATTGACTGTCAATTAACATTCTTCAAGGCATATTCACTGATCAACGACCATGTTTGTTTAGCACAGTGTGCTTTCTCTCAAGAGGAAGGTGCATGCCAGTCGATGTATTAACACAATTAACTAACTCAAGTCATTAAAAAGTCGGTGTTAATACCAAAATTAATGCAATAAAAATTTAATCATGGAGGCCGCCATTGTAAAACCCCTTATTGAAAACCCTGCAAAATTTTATGTAAGAATTTATAGGGAAAATAATCTTCTTAAGAAAAGCAAAGCTATATTGGTCAAAAATCTTCCTAGAACAACATTTATTTGGGAGCATCCTGAGGTATTGTAGATTCAAGTTTAATCAAACCAAACCTCCGAGGGTAGGATGGGACCATCAACCAATAACCTGTTTATCATGCCCCTGACTGTTACCTATTTACAAATATACAGGGGAAAATATCTGTTGATAAAGAACAGCAGGACCTTAGTTACTCAGATGAGCATTTTGGTCCATTTGGCCTCTTTTTTGAATATGTTTTGTATGGTGTAATTAGTTAAGGACAGATTATACAAACAAAAAAATGGATGCCTGGATTGGTATATATTTTTATGCCCCGCCATGAATATGGCCGGGGCATATAGTGTTTGTCATGTCCGTCTTCCATCCTTCTGTCCTTCCGTCTGTCCTTCCAACACACTTTGCGTTTAGCTCTGTTCAAAGCTCAGTTTCAAAGAAACTATCCAAGATATTTTTATCAAACATCATTTGCTGATAAATATTGATGAGAGCTATGCAACTACATCAACATTTTTTGACCTTGACCTTTCCTTTGACCTTGACCTCACTTTTCTTAAATTAGTGTTTAGCTCAGTTTTAAAGATACCATGAAAGATACCATTTAAAGATAGTGTAATCAAACTTCATATGTTGATACATACTGATGTAAGCTATTCAACTGCATCAACATTTTTTGACCTTGACCTTTCCTTTGACCTTGACCTCACTTTTCTTAAATTAATGTTTAGCTCAGTTTTAAAGATACCATTCAAGATAGTGTAATCAAACTTCATATGTTGATACATACTGATGAGAGCCATTGAACTGCATCAACATTTTTTGACCTTGACCTTTCTTTTGACCTTGACCTCACTTTTCTTAAATTAGTGTTTAGCTCAGTTTTAAAGATACCATTCAAGATAGTGTAATCAAACTTCACATGTTGATACATACTGATGTAAGCTATTCAACTGCATCAACATTTTTTGACCTTGACATTTCTTTTGACCTTGACCTCACTTTTCTTAAATAAGTGTTTAGCTCAGTTTTAATGAAACCATTCAAGATATTTTTAACAAATTTCATATGCTGATACATACTGATGAGAGCTATCCAACTGCTTCAATATTTTTTACCTTGACCTTTCCTTTGACCTTGACCTCACTTTTCTTAAATAAGTTTTTAGCTCAGTTTTAAAGATACCATTCACGATAATGTTATCAAACTTCATGTGCTGATACATACTGATGAGAGCTATTCAACTGCATCAACTATTTTTTACCTTTCCTTTGACCTGACCCCACTTTTCTTAAATTAGTGTTGAACTTCATATGCTGATACATACTGATGAGAGCTATTCAACTGCATCAACATTTTTTGACCTTTACTTTTACCTTGACCTCACTTTTCTTAAATTAGTGTTTAGCTCAGTTTTAAAGAGACCATTCATAATATTTTTTATCAAACTTCATATACTAATACATACTGATGTAACCTTTTCAACTGCATCAACAATTTTTGACCTTGACCTTTCCTTTGACCTTGACCTCACTTTTCTTAAATTAGTGTCAAACTTCATATGCCGATACATACTGATGAAAACTATTCAATTGCATCAATATTTTTTCACTTTGACCTTTCCTTTGACCTTGACCTCACTTTTTCTCAATTTGTGTTAAAATGCTTCATTACTAATATACCCTCGGCAGGGCATTCATGTCCTATGGACATATTTCTAGTTTTCAATTTTTTTTTTATAAAAGTTTGTATCATCTGTCCTTAATTAATTTTAAATTATTTAAAACTATGCAGTTAAAATTGTTCATTTTACTTATTAAAAACATGACTCATGTTGTTATTTTCAATTTTTTTTTGATAAAAGTTTGTATCATCTGTCCTTAATTAATTTTAAATTATTTTCTTTAACAGAAACCAGCACGTATGTGTGTGTTTTGTAACAAAGTAATTTTTGGTCGAAAACTCAGATGTCACATAATTAGTCATCAGAAAACACACAGTGAAGTGAAAGAAATTCTACAACAGCCTGTAGAAACCCAGAACAAATGGTTCAACCAGAAACGAATTGAGGGGATTTACCAGTATAACCTCAAACATTTGGATGCATCAGATGATCAACTCATGCGAGAGAGACAGTCCAAAAAACCAAATAGCTTACGTATGTGTACTGAATGTAAAAGATTCTTCTCAGGCAAAACTTTTTACCGACACAAGTTGCAATGTGGTACAAGAAGTCAAGGACTAAAGAAAGAATTGCTAAGACCTGTTGGTGCTGATATGGATGAAAACTTTGTTACGGAAATTTTGCACAAATTTCGAGATGGAGAAGTAGGAAGCCTGATAAGACAGAACAAAATTATACAGATGTTTGGATATAAACAGTTCTTGTCAAGTAAAATTGAAGATGGTATACCAAATAATCTCAGACAGGAAATTATGAATGAGATGAGGACATTGGCAAAGCTGTATCTCTGCTTTAAAGCATTAATGGAAGGCTCAGAGGTCTCTGTGGAGGACATGTACAAACAAGAAAATCTAGGAGTGCTGAAAGAAGCAATAAAAAAACGTTGTTGTGATGAAAATGGGGAGAAACATTGTTTAAAACTTAGTCTTAATAGCATCTTTCAACGAAGCATTAGAAATTTAACTCTATTCTATGAAGAATCTAAGGAAAATTTAAAAGTGGAAAAAATGAAAGACTTTGGAGATGCATATAAACTCAGTGAGGCTGAAATTATTGGTGATTCAAAACAAGTAATTCTGGAGAATTCACTAAGGAAAAGAAGTCAGAGGCAATCAAATGATTCTCAGAGTGAAGGTAAGAGAAGGAAGTCTTTGATACATTCATATGATTGGGATTTTTATCTCTGAATGTGTACTTTTTGATATATTTTATAGTGAGAAAAATAGTGAACATAAAGATTTAGATGCATTTGTATGTCACACTGATACAGTACTCCAACTTGCAACTAAAATGGTCGCATTTGCAACAACAAAAAAATTGATTTTGTGACTAGAAATTAAAATCAACTCACATTTTCACCACAGAGAAAATTTGGGTCGGCAATTGTCTATTTTTAGCTCTTCTGAGCCAAAGGCTCAAAGAGCTAATGCTATGGCCATTTGTACGGTGTGCGTAAACTTTTTAGAATATGGGCCATAACTCAAAAACCCCTTGGCCAATTATTGTCAAATTTGTCAAAGGGTATCCTTGGCCCAAGGGCTCCTGTTTATACTAAAACTAGGGTTGTGACCCTTAAACAAGGGGAGATAATTAGGAAAATAGGAACAAAAGTACTGGTTGTTAAAAAATCTTTCCCTCAAGAACCACTGGTCAGATTATCACCAAACTTACAAAAAAGGATGAGGTTATGTTGTAGATTAAAAATTGTTCAAGGCATCACCCTGGGGCAAAGGGCGTGGTCTCTAGGTCACTTCAAAGTTGACCAAAATTTACATTTTATTAAAATGTTAATATTTTGCTTACTATAAGGACTAGGATCATCAAATCTTGTCAGTTAATGCATCTAAGGACCTCATATCATGTTGACTCATAAGTAGGTCACGTGGACCTACTTTTTAAATTTTGCAGCCATTCTGTTTCAAAATGATTTAGAGGCATATTTTGAACAATTTAAGGCTTATGATCATCAAACTTTGTCAGTTGATGTATCTTGCGTCCTCGGAGTATGTCGACTAAAAAGTAGGTCACCTTGACCTACTTTTTGAATTTTATGGCTAATCTTTTTCAAAACAATTAAGGTCAATAATTCAAATACTGAGAGGTTTAGAATCATTATACAGGGGTTGAAATTTTCCTGGAAAACCCACTAGCCCAGGGGATACTGATCATTAAAAAATTACTAGCCCAAACCTCAAACTAACTAGCCCAAATTTTTTAGGTGACCATGACCTACTTTTGAAAATTTATGGCTTTAATTAAACATTTCATGTACTAATTGGCTTAGAATCATCAAACTTTGTCAGTTGATGCATCATGGGTCCATGGAGTATGACAAGTGAAAATTAGGTCAGTGTGGCCTACTTTAGAAAGTTTATGGCTTTGATTAAATATTTCAGGTACTAATTGACTTAAAATCATCAAACTTTGTCAGTTGATGCATCTTGGGTCCATGGAGCATGACAACTGAAAATTAGGTCAGTGTGACCTACTTTTGAAAGTTTATGGCTTTAATTAAATATTTCAGCTACTAATTGACTTAGAATCATCAAACTTTGTCAGTTGGTGCATCTTGGGTCCTTGGAGTACGACAACTGAAAAGTAGGTCACTGTGACCTACTTTTGAAATTTTATGGCTGTATTTAATATTTTCGGGTACTATTTGGCTTAGAATCATCAAATTAGTCAGTTGATGCATATTGGTTCCTAGGAGTAAGTCGACTGAAAAGTAGGTTACCCTGACTTACTTTTCAATTTATATGACTATGACCTCAAAGTATGTCATCTGAAAAGTAGGCCACTGTGACTTACTTTTGAAATTTTATGGTTATAATTTTAAAAATATTTTAGTTATTAATTGGTTTAGAATCATCAAACTTAGTTGATGCATCTTGGGTCCTCAGAGAATGACAAGTGATAAGTAGGTCACCATGATATACTCTCAGGTACTAATTGGCTTAGAATCATCATGGGTTTTCAGAATGTTTCATCTAAAATGTAGGTCATAATGACCTACCTTTGGAATTTCAAGGCTTTATCTAAATATACAGGATACATAGAGGCTTCAAATAGAAGTGATAGATTGTACAGTTTATCAGAAGAGCAATTCAAGGATCTTGGTCCTCTTGTTATGATCGGGATTGAGTGTACTTTTTTTATGCCCCCTTCGAAGAAGGGAGGGCATATTGCTTTGCTGCTGTCGGTTGGTCTGTCTTTCTGCCTGTCTGTTGGTCCACCAACAGTTCTTCGCAGAGGTTGCACATACTGAAATGAAATTTGATATACAGATTTATCATAAGAATATCTAGGTTAAGTTCTGTTTTTGGTATGATCAAGCAATTTTTCACAGAGCTATGCCCCTTAGACTTAGAAAAATTCTAATTCTTTGCACTTTCCGTTCATTTTTTTGCAGATGTTGCACATACTGAAATGAAATTGGTATACAGATTTATCATCAGAATATCTAGGTCAAGTCTTATTTTGGGTACAATCGAGCAATTTTTGACAGAGTTATGCCCCTTGGACTTAGATTGATTGTATGTTGTTTTACATCCCATTCGAGAATTTTTCACTCATATAGAGACGTCACCATATACCGGTGAAGGGCTTCAAATTTGGACCTTTACTCGGCACTCAGGGCCATTGAACAGTGAGGGATCTTTATCGTGACAACGCCTGCCATGAAAGGAGGCCTCGGTTTTTAAGGTCTCATTCAAAGGACTCGCAAGTTTCACTTCAAAGTGCCAAGTGCATGGCAAAGGAACAGTTGCTACTTATTTTTTATTGACTTAGGTCAGTCGTGGCCGAGATTCAAACTCAGGGCCGAGCGCTCTACCGACTGAGACCCTTGGACTAAGAAAAATTCTAATTATTTGCAGTTTCTGTGTTATTTTTTTGGCAGAGGTTGCACATACTGATATGAAATTTGGTAGACAGATTTATCTTAAGAATATTTAGGTCAAGTTCTGTTTTGGGAACGATCGAGCATATTTGGGGAGGGGGGGGCATAAGTGTTTCACAAACATCTCCTGTTTCCAAAAAGGATCAGTGCACTTAAGCTATGAGAGTTGGACCCCGGTGCTTTGCCAATAATAAATTTCCGAAATTTATAAACTTTTTGAATCAGAATTATTTAACAATATCTTTAGAGCAGGGTTTGATATATTATATCACATAAAAATATTAAATAATTCTGAGCGACACTGGTTTTCGCGACAGGGGTCTAGCAGTTTTGTCACATTTCTATTGTAATTCATATGCATACCAGTTTTCAACGACATTGTTTACATCGAGCCGCAACTTGTCCATTCTTCTCATTTGCACAGAATGTGTATTTTTATCTAAACTTATACATATCCAAAGGGCAATGTTGGACAATTTGCGGCTCATATGTAATTTTTTAAAAAATTCTCCAAACTAAGGTCGGGTTAGCTACTAAATTAACAGGTCACCGAGTGTCAACCTATTTTGACCTGTTTGATATTATAATCATTTTACTCACGTGACATTCCACTGTTCGATATGCTTTCATTGTGTCTGTCAATAGACTTCAGGGCTGTACACACAGATATGTATTTAAGTATAAAATCTGACTATGTATGGACTTTTAAGATTTTTCGAATCTTATAAAACTGTATAAAGAATAGGGCAATGCTCTATTTCTAAATACAAGTCTTAACTTACCTTTCATTTTTAAACCAATCAAAAGTACTCACGTTGTGGTTATCCTATTTTTATCATAACAAAAAAAAGCATGTGGTAAATAATGGTCGACTTTAGCAGTAAAAATATCGAAAAACTCGTTGTTTTATGGGAAGAAGATCAAAAGGATTAACTACATGTAATTGTAAAAGTTGCTCAAATGCAGCGTTATCTATTCTAAAGAAGTTTTTATAACTACTGGGGTCTTCTCTTTGCACCACATCTAGCGATGCATTGTGTGCACCAAGTACATATACGAGTGTTCCGCCGCTGTTTCCATTACGATGTTTTTTTTTCAGTTTTAATGCAATGCATAATACGATAACAAATACTGCTAACAAAACTTCGTTTTCCATTATTGAGAGAGAGAGAGAGAGAGAGAAATATTGCGAGGGAAACAAGTAGACATCCCTAAAGTCTATTAACAATCTAATAAAACGTATAAACGTGTACAGGAAAGTATCATAATATAAATATAATACTTGTATTATACAATAACTACAAATCTCACCTTTTGTACCGGCCTGAACACTTTAAAATAGCACTTGAAGAATTTTGCGAAAATTTTATTAGGGTCTTAAAGTTTACCTTGTCTTCTTTCACTAAATTGTGTTTTTCGTTTGGTATTTTGAAGGAAATTCTGGTATTGCCAGTGCAAATCAAGTGCACGATTAGAATGTAGCTGTGTTAGCTCATGTCGCCTCTGTATTATGGTCTGCAGGCATCTACAGACACATCCCTAAACACTAGTATATCATACCTGACAATATTTGGATTGCCGAAATGAAAGAGATATTGAAGGCATAAGCGAGTGATTATCGATAAAGTAACGTTGTAGAATTTTCATTGACCATGTTTTTTTAATCTGAAATATACTTGTACCGTCAATAAATGTTAATTTAAATTACAGATAGTTTGTATTTCTTGGAGTTTTCATGTTAACCTAGCGACTCAAATTTTAAGTTAAAATTTTATATTTCATTTCCGAATGTTATTTATCTAAACATGCATACAATAAAATATGTATCACCGTGAGTACTACATACATGTATAATTTGTTTCACTACACGTACGTTTGTATTACTCTACGTACTACATGTACAGTGAATAATTATGATTAAATGTAGTGTGACATCGAAGTCATGTAAATGTGAATCTTTCTTAAAACATACATTCATTCTTTGAATTGAAAAGCATTCAGCATATAAAACGAAAAGTTATAAAGCTAAGGAAAAAAGAGGGAGCATTTTTTATCATATGCGAAAACTTAAGATTGATCTAATTCGGTGCTAGGCATCAAACATATGGATACGAATCATGAAAATGATCAATATGTATGGCCATGAATCATTTACTATTTGTGTGAATCATGAAACTACACAATCTTTCTCTCCTCCATCTAAATTCATACTGTAGAATCAATCTGGAATGTTTAC